ATGATCTCAGTCTCAAGCCAAGCCCTTCCCTTTGTTGTTTTGAGCGGTCTTACTGAGATGCTGGAGTTGAACCCGGGACCTAGGAAGCATGGTTCAAGCCAGCTGTAACCCCCCACCCCCACCCCCACCCCCCACCTGAAGCAGCAGAACTCTGGTTTCGGGGAATCTGATTTTTTGTTTGCCTCTGAGAGGTTTCAGTCTGTTGGCCTGACTGTCGAGGTTTAGCATCTCAAACACTGGAAGAGCTGCTGCCGCCCAGACTCTGCCTCACTCTCCAATCCCACATTTATCACCTGATGCCTTTTGTCATGTTGCAGCCGTATCAGAAATAGACATTTTCCTGTTCCGTCTCGGCACTAACATGGAAGATTCAATGAGACAAAGGAAAAATTTTGCTTTCTGTCTGCTCTATACATTATTCATATTCAATAATCATATTCAATTGGATTCTTTTCTTCCATGTGGCAGACATACTGTATTATCTTTTCCCGCTGAAAACATCGTTTCATGAGGCTTCTTCTTTTCTACCAAGGTATTTGGCATCTGGCCTCCCATCTGGCTTCCTAGCAGAAACATCTGGAGAGCTTTGAAAAATACAGGACCTGAGTCCACAGGTCTTGGGGAGCCTCTGGGAGCTTTTGCCTACAAAGCTGCACCAGTGAGTCTTCTGACCAGCCAAACTGGGGGACCACGGCTCCAAAGCACGTGTGTCCCAGTCCCTGGGAACATCCCCGGGTTGGAAGCTTCACTAGCAGGACTCGAGGACTCAGCATTGTCAAGTGTTGGGGGATGATTTCTTACAACAGAGTGATCGAAAATAAAAGTAGTGAAGGGAAAATGAGCCTGGGGAAAGAGGCTCCAAGGAGATCAGGCATAGGCTTCCAAGAGTCCTCTCGTGTGGTCCCCCAGGAACTGCTTAATTCCTCCAGCATTGAATTGTGATAGGCCAAGAAGCTCACTAGAGACTCAGTGCCCAAGATGGTCATCGAGGCCCCATCACCTTGGCACCCTCTGCCTACCATGTACCCAAACTCCAGACTCCCTGGAGAAATCAGGTGTGCAGCATAAAACACCCTGTTCACCCAAGCAATTCGGGCACACGAAGCCACTACTAGGGAATGCACCCCAAATCCAAGTTCCCTGATGCTGGCCAGGGACCAGCCTTGAAAACAGGCTAAGGACAGGAGTCTCGGACCTCCTGCATTATCTTTTCTCTTCCTGAATAGTATATAGAAAAGAGGTAAAAGGTAACTCGATTCAAAGAATGTTAGCCAAGTTTCTGTAGTGGGTAAGAAGAGAAACCTCTGGATGAAAATGGAAATTCAGGTGGTGAAATATGAAACTCCATTCCTTGAGGATCTTCATCAGCAAACTCACTTGTCCTTAATTAAGAAGCATGCCATGAACTTGGGATGTGGACCATCCACCGCCCTGAGACCTTTTGGTGATTGGGCTCCACATAAAAAGAATAGATGGTTTTCTTGTTTTATGTCCTCAAAGACCACAACTAGATGAACCTGGAGACACTCATTCACTTGTGTGTCCTGTTCCCTTTTCCAGTTTTCCAAATGGAATTGCTTTTCCTTTAATCTCTGGAAAGGCATGATTATAAGTGGGATGAGGTGGTCAAGGCCTGCAGCACATCCAAGTCACTCAAAGCTGCAAGTTCCGTGACTCCACTTTGAGTTCCCAAAAAGAAACAATGATTTTAAAATTCAACATCTTGGGCAAAGAGGCATTTGCTTTTATGTTAGCAATACTTTGTAGGATGCTTTGATTTTTCTGTAGACACCGGCATCTCCTGCATCTACAGCCTTCCAGGATTACCTGGTGGCATAGAGGCAACTGCTCTGAGGCAGGAGGATGGCAAGATCAACAGGGAGAGCCAACTCTTTATTCCCATGGGAAACTTCCTGGCAAAGAATCTGAGTATTTCTTTATTCAACTTGCACATTTCCTTCTCTCTAAGCAACAATATTCTACCTCAAGTTCATCTATGTATATCTGCTTTTATTCAGTTCACTGATTCAGATGATTAGTGGGACAGCACGTACCTTGTACAAAACCCTTCTTTAACCTAACAATGACAGACTCACTCAGACATTTTTGTCAAGGTGCAAAAGCTCCTTCTTATTGGACTTGTTTTCTATGAGTTTAATAATTTCTTCCATTTCTCTCTTTTTTCCATTTCTGTACATTCTTCTTAAAAATGTGAACCAAAATTGGACTTTCTGATTTTCAACACAAACGTACTCTGTTATATACCTAAATTTTTAAAAAATGTTGGCAATTATATGTAATTTAATATGTATTAAAACTAAAAATAGGTGAAACAAATACTGAAAATTTTCTAAGTCATGGGTATAACGTGTAAATTACCTTGATCATGTATTAAGTGTAATTCCCTGCTTTTTGAGTTAATTTTTTAAAATGTGAATGTTTTAAGAAGCAAGACTCTTTGGTAGTGAACATGTTGTGGACAGGTGAGCCACTGTGGGCCAGAAGCAAGGCCGAGCTGCTCTGCATATTGTAAAATGGTGCACGCCATTGAGGAAGGATCTCATCTCCATCCTGGATGCCAATCACCAATACCTGCAAGCCACTACGTTTGCCTGGCCCAGAAAGCCCACACAGAGCTTTCCTTTTATAGTTAACTCTTCCCGAGTTGCCTGTTCATCATCAGCTTGTGGTCTACTGTAATTTCAGGCTCTTTTCCATTACGGTCATTTTCCATTTCTCCCTCACTTTCATTTGAAACCAACCTGCTGTCATTTACTTGTTAGTAAATGCCTCCTTTGTCTATCCAACAACCTATGTTGAGACTTTTGCTATTCTCAATATCAGGGTAATGAAAATGTTTATTTTCGTGACTTAGAATATTCCTGACCTCACCTAGTTTCATGTCCTTGAAAATTTGATGAGATGAGTCTTGATATTTTCACCCAAGAAATAAATACTTTGTACAAAGTGCTCTGGAAGGATAGTATATGTGGACAGATCTAGAAAATTAAGAGCTTTTACTGAGAACTATGTAAGCACAGAGTGATAAAAAAAACCTAAGGCATATTCTCAAGCCAAACTATCATTCAACAAAAACATAAGAGAATTGCCAAATAATAAAGAAGGCTTAAAAGAGAATCTGTGGTATTTTTTGAGGGTTGGACCTTTCAGCATTGCCAGGCCCACAGGCTTAATAGCAATCCAAGTGTCACTATGCTGTGACATAAAAGAAAAACCCCTGGTGTGTCATCAGATCTTACCATTTCTTGTGTAGGAAATAATTGAGATAGATAGATAGATAGATAGATAGATAGATAGATAGATAGATAGAGAGGTGTATTTGTGTGCTGTCTAGGCAGGAGGACCACGAGGGTGGAATAGGCGGGCCCCTGATTTTCCACTACCATGTACTTCTGAGACCTTAGAGTGGGACCTTAGAGCACATTCTGTAGAGGACCACTTGATCTGGTGGGTAGTCAATATGGTGCATTTATTTCACAGTTTCACATATTTACAGTTGTTCTTATATCATAGCTTAAATGGGGCTTTGGAGCAGAATTATTTTTAAACCTTTTTTTAAAAAATGTCACAAATATGATAGATAGAGCCAGTCAACCACCCTCCACCTCTTTCACCCCACCCTCCACCCATTAGAAACATTTTGTTAAAGGTTCAGGTGATCAGACCCCTAGAAAATGAACTGTGGGTATAGTGTCTTAATGGCAAAAGGAGTGAGCTCTCAGGGGTACAGGAAGTGGAGGAAGAGAAACGGTTTTCTAGAGCCGTGGTGGGTTTCTGAAAGGAAGGAAAAGCTGTACATTTGTTAGAAAACGAAGCTAAAGAACTGAAGAAGGCGATGTCCTCTAAATCAATGGGAGGCTTCACCTGGCACACCTGCAAGCGCTACTTAGGTGCTGTTGGCTGGACTGGCTGAGGAGCAGAGGCCGAGGCCCTGGTGTGAGGGTGAGGTCGGCTGGACATGGAGAAGACAGCTCACTTGCAGCCTGCACATAGGTTCTGGAACATGTCCTGCGGTGATTGAGAACATTCAGGGCCCAGGGCCAGCATCCTCCTACTCCTTCAGGGTAAGCCACTCAAAGTAGGACAGCTAAAAGGATCAGGGATCTGAGCAAGGCCAAGTCTACTTGAGCTAAGCCGCTTGCAGCTGGGTAATGTGGCTTGTTATCTAATAGGCATCATTCCTGGTCATTGGAGCCCAGGGATGGACGCTCCTCTTGGAAGGATGCAGGGGATCTGCCTCTGGCAAAGTAGTGCTCACTGTTGCTATCAGAAGTGATAGAACACCAGAGGGCGCTCTGACGGGGTCCACCTGGTACTTTTACTGCCTCGCCAGGATGTGAGTAACGGTGATTCTGCAAGTCTTCATGGCAAGAGTCCATGTTAAGACTCCTCAAATGAGTTTAGAAAATGCTTCCATTTCCATCCCTGATGTAGGAAAAGGGCTTCTGCAGTGTTTGGGACCGATGTGCACTGAGAGTAAAACGGTAAGACACATAAAATGGGGGAATGAAGACCCAAAGTCTTCTAGTCTGGGGAATCCATGATCTTTTAGAAACAAGGTATTTATATTTTATATTATTGATCCACTAACTTTCTATTCACTTAACATCTGATTTTTCAATGAGAGGACTTATTAGAATTTGGAAGCGATTCTGCTGTAATGCTAAACAATTCTCATTATTAAAAACTGACTCTACTCTTGAGTTAGGGCAGTGACTACCAGTGAATTGACATAAGCCCACATTTCATTTTAATCAAAAACTTGAAAATGTTACTCCCTAAATAGGCAGCAATGTATTTTATAAGCACCCACAGAGGTTTAATACATAGTTTGCATGGTTAATTCAGAAACAACCCCCAACACTTGAGGGTTACTTGATATATGCGACCATCTTCTTCTCATGGGATATGAGGTAAATTCAGACCAGGGAGCCACTGGGTACACGGTCAGCCCTGGGCTCCATGGGGCTTCATAAAAGTGAAAGAGGTACAGGCTGATGTTTCCATTACAAAACCTATAATGTTTGGACTGCGACACAACTTAGAATTTTTAACAGCTGAGAACTCATCGTTTGAACAGAAATAAGTGTCATTTTAGCCACTTTTGGCACCACTGTGCTAGAGAGCACGTTTGGCCTAGAATTCCATTGACATCATGACCTTGTTCTGCTGGAGACCTATGGCAAACACAAAGTTCAAGGCTGTCTCAGAAGTATAGGTAGTATGCCCAGTAGAAAACATTGGCTAGCATAAAAACCAAAGGGAACAGTAGTTTGGAATATCGATCAACATTGCTGGGGTTTTGAATTGTGAAATAATCCACAATCCTGCCCATCTTTTCTCGGAAGACGAACTTGAACTTGTCGCTGGTTTTCATTGTCATGTTGCTGTAGTCAACATTGTCACCCGAGATTTCAATGGTGGCAAAGCTGATCTTCCGCTTAAAGCTGGAGAGGGAGCTGTTGATGATGTTAGTGATGTTGACTTCTTCCACCTCCTTCGCCGTCCCCTAGTTCACAAACCATGCCGTTAGCTTGGAAGACTTGATTTCAGCAAAGAAATAAGTGGGCAGTAAACTAATGAGAAGTTTAGAGGCCTAAGTGTTGAGTAATTAAGTTTAACAGAGACTTGCAGCCCTGCTGTCCTGTTTGTGGGCACCTACCTGTGGGTCCCCAGCCTGCATGACGAACAACCATCACCCTCCCTAGATCCACAGGGCAGAGTGCCAGATACCAGCTGCGCAGGCTGTAAAGTCAGCAGACCTGGGTTTAGATCCCACTCAGCCTCCTACTCTTGTGGACATCTAGTCACCTTAATCTCTCTTAGACTTCATTTACTTGCCTGCAAAATGGGTCATGATATAAATAGCTACCGTGGGTGCTGATGGGGAGATTAAGTGGAATAAATCATGTGAAGTATTTAGCAAGTATTTGGTGAAATTCTATTATTTTCCAGGGAGAAGGAATTAGTGGTTATGGGAGATAATAGAAATCAGCCGTGTCCTGAGGTCTATGCCACACAAAAGTGGAAACTTTGATGCTCCCCTTGCAGTTGCAGAGGGTTGGTGTTCTCTAGCAGGTGGGCATGCCCAGGCTGCGGGGAATGTAATGCAGTCAGACAGAATGTGGTTTGGATTTGGGGACAGGCTATTTATTAGGAGTAGGGTCCTGGATGAGTCACCTTGCCTCTCTGGCAGGTTTCTCTATAGTAAAATAAGGACAATAATGGTACTATTTCACTGGGTTGTTGGGTGGACTAAAAGCTGTTGATAGGTGTTTAGCATACAGCAAGTACTCAATAGCGCATCTATTATTACACACTCAGGAAAATAAGAGCATCTGGTGCTTTGGTAGAGGATCTCAGTCACATTCCAACCCCCCTTTTACCAATCTAGAAAACTAGACACTTGGGGGGTAATTAGACCCCTTTCCTGTCCCTTCAGGGAGCCTGCAGGGAGCAGAATGAATGAAACCCACATTCTTCTTTGGCTGGCTCAGTGTGTAGACTTCTTTGCCTGTGTCACTTGGACAACGTGGCTTTGTGGAGTGCTGCTGGCAACAGCAGGACACAAGGGGAGCCCCTTCTGCCCCTTCTAATGATGCCTCATCTGCCCACTGTTGGACTTAGCGCAGTCTGGCCCATTGCCAAAGGCAGGTATGTCTTCTGAATTGGATCCTACTATTTTCTTTCTTATTCCTATTGGCCTATTAAAAGATGGTAGGATCGATTCAATTTGGCTTCCAAATGACCCAAGGGTTCCTCGGGGCTGTAAAGAGTAATAGCCAAGAGCGAGGCCCAATGCCCATGACCAGCAGGACAGAGGGACAGGGCCAGGCTTAGAATCCCCAGATCTAGATGGAAATCCCCCCTCTACCTCTTACTCTCTGTGTCCCTGAGATAAACCTTCTTGTCCCTCAGATTCCACAACTGAAAAATGGAGATAAAACCTTGTTGGTGGTTAGGAGCATTTAAAATGATATGATATTTCCTGAAGGTTTGGATCTGGTGCATATAAGTACTTAAATAATAATAATCATCATTATTTTTCAGATAACTGGACCCTGATGTTCCGCTGCTAAATAAAAAAAAAATAACAATCTTTTCCAATTAGCAGAAAAATGTGCTAATCAAGAAATTTGTCTCAATTTAATTTTTCCATAAACCACTACTTGTATAATTTGAAAATGTAAGAATGCAACAAAAGAATTAAATAGTACCTACATATTAACCTGAAACTTGTAAACAACTGATCAAGTGTGGTTGGAAATTAGATTTTTCATGGATTCCTGTTCTTGTAATTGTATGTTGCTTATGGATGAGAATCATTTTCTGCTGGAATTAAATGTCCTGATATCTCATTGTATTTGGTAAAAGGGATGACCTTTTTCAAGGGGCCCCATGACTTCCAGATGTGCCCACATTGGAAGGATGGGACTTACTGGAACCAAGCAAGTCACTGGGTGACAGACACTAGAACCAGCTCACCTCTACAGAGCAGCCCATGGCAAAGTGACAGAGCACCCACAGGGGCCTCAGGATTCTTACCCTGTCCTTGGCTTCCATCTGTTGCAGGGAGCTGTAGTGAGCAATAGCGTACTCCACCAAGGCCCCAAACACAAAGCTAAAGCAGATCCCCAGGTACACGTCGATGGCTTTGATGAAGCAGTTGGTGTTGGGAAGAGACGTGCGGGACCCGATCATCAGTGTGGTCATTGATAACACAGTGGTCACTCCTGGGAAAAGAGCAGAAAATATTTCCAAGATGGCAGCCAGTGGACTTTCCTCTGTTACCTAGCGGAGGGTCTCCACTCAGGGGTCAGCCAGGCGAGGACAGGACTCAGAAACGGAGCAGATCTCATTCTGAAAAACCTGTGACCTTGTGGACCTGGGTTAATTTGCCCATTTTGCACAGAAATGAGCAATGTGGTTTGCTAAACCATTTCCTTCCACAACATCACCGACAGGGGTCACCTGATCACAATTTCCCCTCATCTGTCACTAACGAATTTAAAATTACACTGCTTCTAAAGTAGTCGCTGTCTCTTTCTGTAAAAGACTCTCAAGGAGCCAGCTGTTGGATTGCCCTGGGAATACCAATGAGGACAGTGACGGAAGGGGAAAAACGTACGCGGTGACCCAGTTCTTAGAAACTTACCGATGCAGGTTCTTGCAGGGACAGAATCCAGGGAGATCCAAAATGAAACCCAGGACAGCACCACCAGAAAAGTGGAGGGAACATAGGTTTCCAGAATGAAGTACAGGACATTCCTCCGCAGCTCAAATTGCAAGACCAACCGGGTGTAATTTCCTGATGGGGTCAATAAGAGACAAGAAATCGTGTCTGCTCACATGGCAGAGCAGAGTCCCCATTGGACGGTTGACTGAACCATATTCACATGAAGCCCCCTGTTATTCACGAAAGCATGGCTCATGTCGAACTGCCATGGTCCCCACAACACCTGGGTATTTTTGCACGGAGTGGGACTCCCAGGGCTGCTGGCACTGTGCATTGCAAGTTCCGCTTGGGCTTTTCTCCGTCATCTGACTCCTACACTGTTGTGACCCCCGGTGTCCTTGACATCTCCTCACTAGACTGTGAGCCCCCAGCATGCAAACCCTGCATCTTTCAGTTCTGTGCTTACAAAGAAGTTGTTGGATAAGCACCTCCTCAGGGTTACCTGAGACTGTCCACTTCTCAACATTCCCACTGGGTAGACCTAATAGGCCCATTCAATGGCATTTAATTTTTGATGTTTCAGAGGTATCCTGGATTTACTGTACTTTAGGAAACTATCACACCCTAGACGTGGGGGATACGAGCAATGAGCGCTATTGCTGATCGAATTCTGAGCAGGAGAGAGGGCCTTGGGGCGTACAGCATGTGCCGCGGGTTGGAGAAGCCGGTGCTTCTGTGAAGGGAAGGTCACTGCAGCCAACAGGGCAGCAGTGGCCGGTGCCGGGCTGGGGAAGGGTGGAGAGGTTGTGCCCCGGGAACAGAAGTCTGGCTCAGACTAGAGTAGGGAGAAAACAGGAGAGTTGAGGGGACAGCTCAAGTTCCTGCCACCCCAAGGTAAATCCTGGATTTAAAATTATACCATAAATTAGCTAATGAGCAAGTGATGAGAAAGTGGCAGACGCTCATAATCAAACCCCATCTTTGAGAAAATCCGTTTCAGTCCTGTGCGAGGAATAGGTGCAGACCTTCTGCCCTCCACCCCTTCTGCCCCTCTGAGGGGTTTCTGGACCCTGAAGGAGTCAAGTGGAGAAGAGAGGAGACTTCTGACTCAGAGTGCAACCCGCCACTTCTGTTCGGTTATTTTTATTTTGTACGATTTGTCACACGAGTTACCTGTCTCCTGCTGGGACCTGGTGACTAAGGTGAAGTAGCGTTGTATGGTATACTGAGCAAGCCGCAGGTTTTCCAGCCCTCGCACGGAATCGTTCCCTCTCAGCCAGGTGAACTCCACGTCATTTCCATCATAGCCCCCTGCCAATAAACAGAGCCCTGGTCAGTGCAAGGGCACCGAGGGAACTGGTCTGGAAAATGCTATGACATGGAAACAGTTTGTACTCCATCCTGATGGTAGTGGGCCCAAGGATGATTCCAGGCAAGACCTCTCACGTGCCACAGCAGTGCCTGCTCAGAGTGACATCACCTACTAGGACCATGCGCCATCCATTGAGAACTGGTCCTATGGTAAGCAGGGTCTAAACCTGAATGATGAGCCTTAGATATGGCCTCCTTCAGAGGCCAGCCTCAGCAACTTAGCAAGGCCCTACCCAACTTAGCAAGACTTTGTCTCAAAATGAAAAATAAAAAGGGCCGAGGATGTAGCTCAGTGGCCGAGGGCCCCTGGCTCCAATCCCCAGTGAGCAGCGGCCTCCTTCCTCACGGAAATACCATACCCATCAACACCCAGAGGCCTGTGCTGCACTGCTTCCCAGGGCAGTCTAAGTAAGTGCCGATGGGTCTTCAGAGACTTCAGAACTGGTCTTTCATATCGCATTGGTGGAAATGCGAAAACCGAAACAAGAATCCTGCAGCCAGCCACTTCAGTGATGCTTGTCACCATGTGAGTTTGATAATCTCAAAGCTGTTTTATTAACTTAGCCAATAATTGTAATCCTGGACCCACTTGGTCTCTAATGTTCTCACAAACTTGTAGTCATTTCTGTGTTTCTTCAATAAGTATTATGTATTACTCAATAAGTATTCTGTCTCAGAATTAAGGAGCTATAATGTTTTGCTCAATTTATACATAAAAGCTCTCAGTTTCAGAGAGGTTGCCTAACTTTCTCCTGATAACAAAGCAAGCAAGAAATAAAGCCTGCATTGAACTTTAGGAAAGTTTCATCTCAAAGCCCTTGGATGATAATGATGATAATTATAATATGTCATTTAATTTAGTAAACATTACTAAATGCCTTATAACATCATCATCTCATTTAATCCTCAAAATATCTCTTTGGAAATATATCTGAATGAATAATAAGCACACAAAAAATACCCAACATTATAGGTCATTAGGAAAATGCAAATCAAAACCACAATAAGATGCTACTTCATACTCATTAGAGTAACTACAATAAAAAAGACAGATAACAAAGTGAGGACATAGAGAAATTGGAACTGCACTGGTGGGAATGTAAAATGGTATAACCACTTTGGAAAAAGGTTTGGCAGTTTCTTGAAAACTTAAATATGTTTTTACCATTTGACCCATATTTCACACCAAGGTATCCGGTCAAGAGAAATAAAATCTTATTTATACAAACACTAGCACACAACTGTTCAGAGCAGCATTACCCACAATAGCCAAATGTTTGTCGACTGATGAATAAATAAATTAACTGTGATACGTATACACGTACATCTCCATACAAAGGAACATTTTTACCTGGCAATGAAAAAGAATGAAGTGCTAATAACACACTGTGACGCCTATGAACCTCAAAACTGTTCTGCTAAGTGGAAAAAAAAATGCAAAAGAGCATATACTATATTGATTTCCATTTGTATGAAATATTCAGAAAAGACAAATTCATACAGACAGAAAGTAGATTCATGGTGCCTGGGAGCTGGTGGTGGAAGGAGGGGTGATTGCAGATAAGCCAAGGGAACTCTGTGGGGTCGGGGGAATGCAATATGGCAATGGTCACACAACTTGGTAATTTTACTAAAACTGTGGAATTCTATACTTAACCCCTGTAAACTTTAGGGTATGTAAATTATACCATAATAAACCTATTGAAGTGGCTGGGGTTGTGGCTCAGAGATAGAGTGCTCGCCTAGCACGTGCGAGGTGCTGGGTTCAATGTCAGTACAACATAAAAATAAATAAATAAAATAAAGGTATTGTGTCCAACTACAACATATATATATATATATATATATATATATATATATATATATATATATAGAAAACCAAATCATTGAGCCAGACACTATTACTTTCCCACTTCACTGATAAGTAAACCGAGGTCTAGAGAGCTTCATTACCCAAAACCAAATGGCTAGGGATGGGAAAAGTCCAGGGATTCCAGTACCTATGATCTTAAACACAAAAAATATATTGCCTTTATTTTCCCCACATTTTTATTGGTGCATTACAGTTGCACATAGTGATGGGATTTGTTGTTACATATTTGTACATGCACACAATATATTGTCTTCATTTTCTTTTCTTTTTCTTTTTTGGTGCCAGGGATTGAGCCCAAGGGAGTTTAACCACTGAGTTAAAGGCTGTCCCAGCCTTTTTAAACTTTTTTTTTTTTTTTTTTTTTTAAATTTTGAGATAGGGTGTTGCTAAGTTGCTTAGGGCCTACGTGGCTGAGGCTGGCTTTGAACTTGCACTCCTCCTGCCTCAGCATATAAGCTGCTGGGGTTACAGGCATCGTGTGCCACATGCCCAGCCATTGCCTTCATTTTCAAAGGCTGCTAGGAAATATGGAGTTAGTGCTGGGACAAATATTTTGAAAAGAATCTGCTTCTGGTAACCAATATCTAGTAGGGGTGGTCTCCTCCTCCATAATGCACCAGCTCTTTAAAGATTTTCAGGTAAAAATTGTCTGTGGGCTTTCCTTTGGAAGCATCCAAAGTTCACTTTGGCACTGAAGTGAGCTGTCCAAATTGCTTGGGATCCCAAAGAACTGAAGAATCTATAAAAACCAAGAGTGCAGTTTCCTACTTGGACACTTTGCTTTTGCAACTAGAAAAAGCACAATTGTTACATTAACACACACACACACACAAACACACACACACACACACACACACACACACACCCCTGTCCCTGAGTGACTATGGGGAATGTGGGATGGTATCAATTCATTTTTGGTGATGGCATGTAACAAAAACCCTGAGTGAGGTTTCTGTACCCAGATAACTGCTTAATAAACATGCAGCAAAAGCTTCCCCTGCTCACTGGGGACAGTATTTGTGCAAACAGAACTTGAAGTTTCCAGCGGAATATTGCTCTTGGGATTTGAGATGAGCCCAGCCACGACACATGGAGGGCAATTACTTGTTTCATGTGGGACTCAGATGCGTTCTCTTTTGATAACCCCAAGTTTTATTCTGCTACCAAACAGCTGCATTGCTTCAGGAAGATTCTACACGCATTTAATGAATAAGATAATTAATCTGAGTCTTTAATTAAATGTCTACTTTTGAAAAATGGCTTCTACCTCACCATGGGTGGACTTTCCTGATGCTGCCCACTGTGTCCTTAGGTACAGAGGGCCCATTTGTCTCCAGAGCCTGTCTGCAGTCCCCTCCACACCACAAGCCAGGCTTAGCTGCCTTAACAAGTCCTATCTGTGGTACTCTTTTCCGCGCAGGTGACAAGTTTGGTGAGCATTTTAGAGTGGCTTATTAACAATGGAGATTGTTTAACAGTGCCAGGGAGTTCATTTGACACACATCACTTAAGAGTAAACCTTCATTTCTCATCATAAGCAAATCCCCAGGTTGCAATTTAGATGCCCGTTTAGCTGGCATTATTATGTTAAACTTTACATATAGCAAGTAAGTTCTTTGAAAAGTTGGAAGCAGTTGTGTGATAAATATTAACGGACTGCTTTGCATGTTGACCGTTTTTTTCAACGCTAGGGATAGAACCCAGGGCCTTGAATGTGCTAGGCAAGCACTCTACCCGCAGGCCACGCCCCAGCCACGCCCCAGCCACGCCCCGACCAGGCCCCAGCCACGCCCCAGCCACGCCCCAGCCACGCCCCAGCCACGCCCAGCCAGAGCCATGTCAGCCCCCACTTGGCCCTGCTAACCTCTGCTATGTTCCCTCTTGCTCTTGTGCCTTGGCAGACGCTGTGTCCCACTCCTCGTCCCCTGGGCCAGCTTCAACAGATCCCTCATGTCTGATTTCAAGTGATATCTCCTCTAGAACACCTCGAACTCCTCCAGGCTCCACAGTGCCATTACTTCTTATTGTCACCATCTAGTCTCTGTAATTATTTTAAGTCCTGCTCTCCATGAGAGGACAGACTGAAGGCTGGCACATCATTTCATCTTTGTATTGCAAACATCTACCTCACTATCTGGCACAGAAGTCATTTAGTCGTTGAGTGGAAGAAGCAAAGGCATTTAAATGAGGGCTGACAGGGGAACTCAACCAGCACTCCAGACTCGCTGGAGACCTTAGTGGGAAAATATGCAGAACTAAAGTATTAGAAAGAGTCAAAATATTTTCCTTAGGACACAGAGGAAAAGAAAAACAGTGGCCCTCGTCCTAAGTAACGGAAAGGAGCTAGCAGAGGAATATTGGAGTCCTGTGTGACGATTGTGTCGTAATTCAGTTTAACATTCTGGCAGGATTTGGGGAATCCAAAATAAGCATCGTGTGGTTACTCAGTTTGGGGAAAATAATGATAATAAATGGGCACTAGAGAAACTGGAAAGGAGTTATTAAAAGCTTTTCATTATCCCCATATTACTGTTTTAAAATCATTTTATAGTACACTCAGAAAAAATCTATAGCTTATATCATGAATGAGCCACAGGAACAAAATCCCTGTTGACCTTCTAGTCCAGTGGCAGGAATGTATGAAATGTTTCTTGGTCAAGGAGGCCCAGGGCAATAGCACATCAAGGTCACACACACTGGTTACCTCCTCTCAGGAGTCTTTCCCTCTAGCTTCTCTACTTCCTCTGCAGTGAAGAGGGACTTTTGCTAGTGACCACAGTGCTTTTGCACCAGAAAAAAATAAAAGGAGAAAAAAAAGAAAGCTTTTGAGGCTTTCTAGAAACTAGAGGGTTATGTGCTGACAAATGGAAAGGGTGTTGGTAGAAGGTTGTCATTGGTGTCTGTAGGGACCCATGGTTGATTGAATTTTGGTAGACTGACAGTGGGGATGTGGGGGTGAAGATCATGGCCAAGGGGGATTCAAAAGGAACTCACCCAGCACCACAGACACTTTGAGGATGAGCAGCCAGATAGATGGTATAAATAAAAAGTTAAGAGTTAAACTATCAGGTGTTAGTGTAGACCCATTTTTATCAAGATGTTCTCTATAAAGTAGAGATACTCATGAAACAAGTGAGTCATATTCTGTGGTTACACAATTCTGGGAAATATTACTGCTCCTTCTTGGAATTTCACCTGGAATTTGCTCATTAGGGGCTCTTGGAAGCTCTGCAGCAAGGCAGACTGTCAGTATTTGTGGCTTTGTGGGCCCTTGGGTCTCTGTCATAAAGACTCGACTCTGCTGTCCCAGTGTAACAGCAGCCACAGGTGACACATAAATGAGTGGGCAGGGCTTCCCCATTAACCTTGATTAACAGAAGAGATGATGGGCTGAGTTGGCACGTGGAGGAGGTTTGGGGGTCCCTGGTCTAGACCATGAATCCCACCAAAGCATTCCCTTCCTTTGTCTCTTTGGTAATAATGCATAATAATAATAATGCACAATAATAATCCCCAAAAGATGTGATGTTAGAAGGTTTTTCTTTGAGAAGAACCTAAATCCATTTGGAAGGATAGTCAGAAGGACTGAATCCATTGTGAATCAACACCAGAAAAAGAAGGATCACTGGGTAGGGGACACTGAATTCCAGATCCAGGTCACCCAGGAAAGGGGCCTGTGGGCGTGGCCACTCACAGCTCTCCAGCTGCAGCTTGCACGTCTGCGTGTCCATGGGGTACTTGGACAGGTCCATGTTGCATGCCACAGTCGTTGTGATTCTAAGAAAGAAAAAACGAGTTCAGAAGAGTGTTCCGAGGACTTTCACTTGGGTTCCTGCAGGGATCATGTGGCGTGGAGACCCATCCCCCCAAATTTTTGAGGTTTCCTGTGCTCTTTGTATGTTCAACAACACCCATGAGACTAAGAGAAGCTGGGTCCAGAGTGGGGGAGTTGGCAGGCTAGCCACTCAGAGGCCAGCCAGCCAGCATATCACAGAGCAGACTCACGGCTGGCTGGTTTAAGATGTCTTCCTTTCAGTTTTTCAATGTGTCTACCTGTGCAAGGTCATGACAGTGATCACGGGGCTTGCTCAGGCTCAGGTGGCTCTGAGTGGCAGAGTTGGAACTGGAGCCCTGGTCTCCTGGCTTCTTGATGGGATCAGGATGCAGAGGGAGTGGAGGGTACCGGGCTCAGTGGCTCTCGGGGCTCAACACCCAGGGACGGTCAGCTCAGTGTCAGAGAAGCCCTTGTGGTGGAGATTTCAATCTACAGGACTTTTTTTTCAAGAGTCACATATTTTCACTTGGCTTCCTTATTTATTAAGGACAGTGAGAGGTGCTCTAGGAAGCAGAGGTCACCACAGCACAGTGCCCACCTTGAGGATCCCACGCTCCCCTAAAGGGAGACAGAATAACAATGACCATTCATCCAGTGCTTGCTGAGTTCTCTGCTTGCGTTCAGCCCTTTGAGCCTCTGGGAGGTAGGAAATACTATTATTCTCATTTTGATGCTAAGGAACCTGAGGCTCAGAGGGTCACAGAACTTGCCTATGGCTACAGAGCTGCCCAGGACAGAGCAGGGATTGTACCCAAGTCTTTATGACTCCAGTGCCAGGCTACAAACCATTACCTACTGTTCATAATCCTTACCCCAAACTGATTGTGCTGCTCTCTTGCAGACAGACACATAAGATAAGCACACATGTGCAGTGGGGACACAGGGAAGGGTACATTAGTGTCAATTGGAGTTGGGGTCAAGAGAGAGGTCTAGTTAGGTTTCCTGAAAGAGGAGTTGAGGTTTGGATTGGTCTTTGCAAAATTTGGGGCTGCTGAGCTGTGTGCAGAAGTCCTGTTAATGGCTAGCTCAGTCTTTGCTTTATAACTTGAGACTCTTACTCTGTATTAAAGATCAATGTCTTCGATATTTGGTCCTGGCCTCCACCCCCAGGCCTCGGGGAGCCTATTGTGCATGATCCTTGTACCTCGTTTACACAGGACCAGCCCTCGCTACAGCATGTAGAGACCTCCTTTCCTGTTCTAGCCCTCAGGCTCCATGAGCGATTGGGTGGAAGGAATTTTAGGCCTCAGGAGTTGGGGAGTACGCATGGAGAGCCCAAGAATGCAGGTGACAGAGGCTTGGTGGCACTGAGCCTTGATTCTGTGCAAATATGACTCAGACCAGCTGTCACCTTCTGGAGCAACCTGCTCCACCGAGTCCCATGAAGGGTCCCATGCACCTCGCTGCCCTTGTCATTTCCTTCACACTTTAGGACTCAGCCCAGAATCTTGTGAGAGCCTCTCCTAACATCACCCCCAAACCACTAACCTACTCCCCACCTTGGGCCCCAGCACTGGGGGATGCCTCTGTTTCCAGTGTCCTTGAAGACAGGCTGTGTCCTGTCCAGCTCTGCTCCCTCGTATCCAGTGCAGGGCTTGGCACAGAGCAGGTGCTCTGTAGATGCTGAGGAGCCAGAGTGGATGAGAGAGGGCCCACTGTTATGAAGGCTCTAGGAGGGCAGGAGCATGGCAGAACGGCCTAAGATCATCTGAGTCTTCTTCCAGGTGCTTTGCCTCCCAGCCCCAGTGCCAGCTCACCTGAGCGCATACAGGACTGTGCCATTGGAGAAGAGGCGGATGAGTCTGTTTCCCACAGTGACTTCGTGGAGGAAGGACTTCTTGGACTCCACAATGTAGGTGTCAGGCACCCAGAGGAACTCCACCAGGCGAGCGTCCAGAGTGAAGCTCTTGTTGCCTTCAAACACCAGCCGCGGGTCTGTCCAGCGCTGTCGGAGGTATATGGTGGCCGTGTAGTCCTGAGGGGGAAGCAGGGCACGGAGATGGGTGAGTGAACGGGGTGGGGGGGCAGTGAACCCTCCAGAGCAGATCAGGAGGGTCATGTGTTACCCTCCCACTTCCACTTAGAGCAAGTGCGCAGACCTGGGTGGAGAAGTTGTGTGTCACCTGCAGCAGTGAGAGAAAACACTGTGCTGTTAATTCTAGATGACGACTCTCCTACCAGCAGGGAGTCCCGGTCCAGGGCCTTGACCTCCCTGGCCCAAAAGCTTGCATTTCCCGAGATCAAATGGCTAAGGATTTTGGTGGGCAAAGTGCTTAGGTTGTCCGAGATTGACCTGGATGCCCAGTGACCTCTTGGCAAACCTCCCCCAGTGTGACCCAGTCTTTCAGGTGATCTCTTAGATAAGAGGCCCTGCGGAGGCGGTCATTAGATGGTGGCTTTCCTGTGTCCCCATCTCTGAAGCGCTGTGTGATGTCCAGGCTTCCCACAGCACTTTTATTCTTTTTTTTCCAATTTTTTTTTTTATCTCTCACTAAATGTGCCTTCTTCACTCACTGGTTTCTTTCCTCCTGGCCTTTGAATCCACTTTCTTTCTGAGACTGAGAAACCCTGTTCTCCCAGTTTCCCACTATCTTGAATCTGGGTCTAGGTCTCTAGCTCCTGCGATTCCAAGTGGAGAAGGGCAGTGCTTCCTCCCCTTCTGTCTTGGAGTAGCTGGAAAGCATATGCCCAAGACACTCGAGGCCAGGGAGCCTTGGGTGAAATGGAGGGGAACGGTGCTTACCATGTTACTCTCGGAAATACTAGAGATGCTTGCGATGTCCAGAGTCAGCGCTATCTGAACTGGTTCTCCTAAGGATGGAGAAAAATCCAGAAAAACTTAGTAGAAACACACAATATGTCCTTCTCCCCTACCCATCCATTTCACCCCCGTTGGACTACACAGCCACCCTCTGCATTGGTGCATTGGAAAAACAAAACTATTAAAAATTGCAAAAGTAACACTTGCTTGTTAGAAAAATTTGAAAAATCTTAAACTATGACAAGGCTAATTTCTATCTTACTCCTTCTCAGGAGCAACCGCTGTGTATAGTGCATCTCCCTTTGTATGAAAAATATGCGTAAGTGAATTGTTATCTTACTACATATGAGACATTGCTCCATTACTTTAAAAGGCATAGTGATAAAGCATTTGCTACTTCTCAGATGGAGGATTTTTCCTGTGTTGCTTGCAAGGGACTAATCATGTAGAATGTGACAGACTTGGTAGTCTGGGTGGAGACCACTGTCCTCCCTTCTCTTCATCGAACTAGACTTACCACCAGATGGCATTCATCTTGCCCCCTCATAGCTGAGCTCCTGCTGATGTCCTAACACCTTCTCCTCTTCCTCTACTCTCCAGGAACCCTAAACTACTTAGAGTTCCAGAACCTTCTGCACTTTGTCCTGTGCACAGACTCTGTTAGGCCTCAATTCTGGAGAGCTGGCAGATGAATCCAACTCCAGAGAGAACTGTTCATAGCTCCCAAGACTGCAGGCTCCCAGCCACTGTCTCAGGAGCCAGGCCAGGCCAAGCCAGACTACTTCTCCTGAGACCACAGATGTGGGAAAAAAACCCCGAGTCTGAGCCATGTGAGTTCTCAGCTCCACCACATCCCAGCTCTGAGATTTGAGAAAAGTTACCGAATCTTCTCGAGCGGCAGTGCTGTCACCTGCAAGTTGGGCTGATGCTAATGATATCCTAGGGTCATGGAGAGGGTTAAATAAGGTCGGGGGTATGGCAGTGTCTTTGCCGAGTTTCAGTAAGAGGGAATGTATGTGAAGTGCCTGCCCATCACCTGCAGAAGGTGCTCAGACACGGTTACCTATTGCGGGTCTTGCTCATCATGTTATAATAGCTGCCGTCAGAGGCATTTCCCTTTCCTCCTCTCTCTTCCCCAATCCTAGCCAATTTGAGAGGAGAAAAGAACCTTTGCTCACTAGGTTAATAGATGCATTCACTTGCAATAAATAACTGGGAGAGCCCCCAGGGGACTGTAGCAATGCATTAACTGGCAGAAGAGAGGTGGAATTCAAAAGAAGCTTGAAAACGTCTCATCCGAAGGAATCAGACAAAGCAGCTTAATTATTAATCTAAGAAAACCAAGCCATCGAATGGAGGTGGGAGTTTGGAAATGGAGTTTTAGAACCAATGCAATTGAAAGATACTTGAGTGTTAATACTTGGTGGGAAAAGAGAGATCTTTGAGGGCAGACCCTGGAAGGTGCTTTCTGAAAGGGCGGGGTATAGAGTGGCTTCCTGCCCCTCTGGACAGCAAAGCACAGCATCAAGAAGGGGATCCTGGAGTCAGGGAGAAGGGTTTGAATCCCATGCTGGTCCCTTAACAGCCTTGCAACCTTGAGCAAATTGCTAGATCTTTCTGTGCTAGTTCACATAGAGGTACTAGTGCTGCTGTGGTTTGTCCCCTCTTGTTGTGGTTTGGATATGAGGTTTCCCCCAGAAGCTCCTATGTTAATTCAGGTATGTCTGGAGGTGCAGTGATTGGCTTCTGAGAGCTGTGATCGGTCCATTCTAGTTTGAAAGGACTGACCGGGTGGTAATGGTTGGCAGGTGGGGTGTGGCAAGAACAGGTGGGTCACTGGGGTGTGTCCTGCCATCCCTTCCCCTCTTCTCTCTCTCTCCCTGCTTCCTGGCTGCCGTGAATGGGGCAGTGCTTCTCCAACATGCCCATCTACCATGATGGGCAGCCTCACCTTCGGCCCAAAGCGACGGAGTCGGCTGATCATGGGCTGAACCTCTGAAACCATTGGCTCGAAATAAACTTTTCTTCCTCTAAGTTGTTCTTGCCAGGTATTTTGGTCACAGTGATGGGAAAATGACCAGCACACTCCCCAAACTCATGTTGAAAATAAATTGCCATTTTAACAGTATTAAGGGGCAAGACCTTTAACTGGTGATTAAGCATCAGGTGATTAATCATACCCTTGAGGGTAGGATTCATGTGATCATGACCAGCAAGATGGTCCCACTCTTGCCCCCCACCATGTGATGACGCAGTAGGAAGGCAGTGCCCAGTGCTGAACTGGACTTCTCAGCCTCTAGAACTGGGAGCCAGTTAGTTTCTGCTCATTATGAACTACCCAGACTCACTCAGGTCTTCTTTCCAGCAGCACCAAACACAAACAGATTAGGACAAGGCCTCTCGGGGGGCTGGGCTTGGGAAGATTTTGGCATCTGTTGTAAGTGGATGGCGGGTTACTTGCCCTCCCTGAGGAATGCAGAGGGGGAGGCACAGAGAGCTCCAGTCCTGCCCAGCGTTTGTTTGGTTTCTTCCTGGACAGTCTAGTCCAGGCCTTGCTGCAGCTGGCTTTTCTGTGGACCAGAGCTCGCTCCTTCTCCCTGGAGTTACAGGAGTGAGCAGTGCCACCAGAGGGCAGCTTCCTCCTAGGAAAGAGGTCAGTGGCACTGCCTCAGTAGCTTCCTCAGTGCCTGCTGGCAGCCCTTTGCTCTGTCCAGCTCAGTTCCTGAACTGTCCTGTGGAGCTCTTGTCTCTTAAGGGCCTCAGGTCCTAGAAGCTGGGTGCATGGACATTACAGAGATTCCAGGCTGCCTCGTGAGTGTGGGTCCCTTTAAGAAGTAGGGAGCCAGAAGGGGAGGGGAGAGGACTTGTGTTTCCCTCTCTGACCAAGGACCCCAGAGCCCATTTTCACCCCAGATGGGACAGGGCCTTACATTCCTCTAGGTCCACCCCAGGCTTCCTGTTCTCAGAACGGCCTCCTTGCCCAAGCACCCTGTATCTTGTTGGCCAGTGACAGGGAAACAAGACAGTGACCTGACTTAGTTGTTTGAATCTCGGGAGGAGAGAGACGTTGAGAAACGTTTGAGGACCTGGCCAAGGTGTTCAGGCTCACCTGCCCATCAGCAGGGCCTGAGAAGCTAGCTCTGGAGGTCCCTTGGCATAAGGGACTCAGATCCTAATTGTGTGGCCAGGCACCCCTTGGACCTCCACCTGAGGCCTGTGATCGGCCGCTGTCCCTGCTGTGCTCTGGGGTCCACCAGCACCTGCTCCAAGGCCAGCTTCCCATGGGCTGTGGCTGACCTGTGACCTGAGCAGGGCAGGATACCAAGGTGGCCTGTCTCCAGAGGCCGAGACTCCTCCAGTGGGCAGCTCTGGATCAAGGACACCCTGGTGGCCTTCCCAGCTCTGAAGAGGTAGAGTTAGCTACCCTCACCCTTTGGCTTCATTTTTCAACAGATATTAGTTGGCAAGTTGCTGTATGTATGTCCAGCATGGAGCTTCTGTGGGGGTGAGGGAGGTACAAGCAGGACTCCTCAAGGGGCTGCTGTCCTGAGCTGAGCCAGGTACAGTATCACAGGGCAACGCTTGGCTATGATTCAAAACAAGGGTCGAAGAAAAGAGATGGACCCTGGAGAAATCAGGGTGGGCTTCTCAGAGGAGAGAGCCTTTTTTTTCTGTGAAAGGAAAATCGGCATTTTCCTGGGAAGTCAAATTGGAAGAACAGTTCAAATCAGATAAACAGCTTCGGCAGGGACAGGAAAGTCAGGAAGGCGAAGGACGCCAGGGACTGTTGTCCTGGTCACAAAGGATAACCTACCACCAAAGTTGGGCCTGAGAAATTTGTTATATCCTGCTGTGAGGTTCTCAAAGCCAGGCAGGGAGAGCTTATCACTTCTTCTGACCTCGATGTTGAACTGGTTCCCCTGGACGCACATCCTGGAAAAGAAAGGGGGGCGGGGCTCTGTTCTACATGCTTGTTCATGAGTGAGTAAACACGGATGGGTGTCAACGTGAACTTGAATTCGCCTGTGGTGTGTCTAGTCACCGGCAGCAACTTTTCTAAGGAGAAGTCTCTTCATTTTCAGCTGATTGAGTTAGTGTCTCCATTTTATGATGCACTTGCTTAGATCAAACTGTCAAGATAATTTGGGGGACCCTCAGAGTGTTCTGAACAGCTCAAGGGTTCAGTAGAGGACACTCTTGTCCTCTACTGAGAATGGGTGGCAGGACGTTGTTTTGTTCTGGTGATTGAGGGAGGGGAAAGGAACAGGGTGAGCTTCACCATAGGGCAGAAGGAAATTCAGCAACCATCCACCATGGGGCCCTTGGCAACACAGTTCAGACCAAGGCCACGGTGGGGCAGCACAGTTTACCTTGGAGCCAAGAGGCTCAGACACACGAAGGTCAGCCGGAGACCGTAGCTCATCTTGAGGAGCTGTCCACACAGACAGGGTCCGAGTAGGAATCACTGGGGAGAAGACAGACAGGTGAGGTGAGGGGAGACGTCCGAAGGCTCCCCTGCCTGCGGGCTTCCCCTTCCCGGGGTGGGCAGGTATGGAGGTTCCTCGACTCCCAGTTCCTGACAGTCCCTCTCTCCTGGCCTTCTAAGCAGCCCCTGCTCCCGGGGGGTCTTCTAGGATTGCCATCATTTTGGAGGATTGTTTTAAATCAAACCCAAATAAAGGCCGAGCCCTTATTTAGACAATGATTCACCTGAGCCAGGAAATGCAGCCAGCTGTCCTGGTCGGCATATTTTGTGAGCTGCACGGCTGTGCTTACTGTGGCCCTGTCCTGCCACCCCGACTGCGTCTGCCCTCACCCAGTCGGGCGCTGTCCCATCTATCTTACAGTCCAGACCATGAGGCAGCTGTGTTGGCCATCTTCACAGCCCCCTGGTGTGGTGGGCAGGTGAATCCCGTCTTATGATGCCTCGTGGAGAGGACTGTGCACCGGAGTGGCAGAGGTGACTCTGAGTCCAAGGCTGGCTACTGTGCCTCTGTATTGTGTTCCTTCAGGACAGGCCTGTGCCTCAGTTGGCTGATCCCTGGGAGCTCTGAAGCCTTTCAGCTGGTGTGTGTGTGGAGACCTTGGGGTAGGCATGGCCCAGGGGACTGGCCCCTTGGATCTACTCTCATGGGAGAGCATGAGGTCTCTGGACCTCAGTGGCCGTGACAGTGGCATGGGGTTCTTGGGTTCAGGCTGTCTTCCCAGGCAGCACCTGGCTGGTTCACCCTGCTCTCCATGGTAACTTCTGTAAACCAGGCTACTTCCTAGAGTCCAGCTATTCTGGACCTTCAGGCCAGATTCAGCCCTTCATGACATAACATTGTGCTGCTTAGAGAGCCAGCTGCTCATTGTAGGAACAGAAACAAGACAGGAGTAAAGTTAAAAGTGAAACTCAGCCATCTGTCAGTGTAGGTTCCTAGACTGCAACAAGTGTCCCCTTCTGCCCTGAGATGTCGATGGCAGTGGCAGTCACATGTGTGTGAGGGGTTTGTTTTTTACCGTGAACCTAAATCTGCTCTAGAAACATCAAGTCTAAGGCTGAGATTGTGGCTCAGTGGCACAGCGCTGGCGTAGCACGTGCAAGGCCCTGGGTCCGAACCTCAGCACCACATAAAAATAAATAAATAAAATAAAGGTATTGTGGCCAACTACAACTAAAAAATAAACATTAAAAAAAGAAAGAAACATTAAGTCTACTTTAAAAGGCAAAAGCAAAACAAAGGAAGTGTAAGTCCTCGTTTCTCATACTTCTGAGATAAACATTGTTAACAGTTGCTTTATTTATGTGTACTTATGTTTCTGCATAAAGGAAAAAAATTGAAAAGTGAAATCTGGTGATTGTATGTGCATTTTGTTATTTACTTGTTTCCATTTCAAGTAGCTGACATTTATTGAACACTTAATGAACGTTGCCTGGGCTGAGTGCCTCTAAAATCCTTATGCTTCTTTGAAGCCGTAACTACCATCCTCATTTGACAAAGGAGAAAACTGAGGCTTAGAGAGGATAAGAAATGTCACAAGGTTCTGCAGCAAGCGAGGGACAGAACTGAGTCCAAGAGGCTCACCCAGGTCCTTTTTTTTTTTTTTTTTTGGTATTGGGGATTGAACTCAGGGGCACTTAACCACTGAGCCACATCCCCAGCCCTTTTTTGTATTTTATTTAGAGACAGGGTCTCACTGAATTGCTTAGGGCCACGCTAGGTTGCTGAGGCTGGCTTTGAACTCACCATCCTCCTGCCTCAGCCTCCCCAGCTACAGGGATTACAGGAGTGCACCACCTGCCTGGCTCTCCCGAGTCCTCTTCATCTTTGCTCTGTGATCTGAATGTGCTGTCTGCCAGCTTTCTACCACACAGACGAACACACGCCCTGCTCATGAATATTAGTTTCCAAGTTTTTCACTACAAAGCCAGTAACGAACACCTTTGCACCAAGTAGCACTCATGATTTGGCTCAGCCTGTCTACCTCAGCCCGTTCCTGCTTGCTCATTGAAATACCAGCTGTAAACCCCACATTACCAACCCACTAGTGACCAAAGTCATTCTTTGTTCCTTTAACCCCTTTGCTCCAGGATGCCTTGGTCCTTTTCCTTGGCCCTGATCATCAAGTTTAAGAGGTCCACTAAGTGGCTCCCACGCCTTCCAATGTCCTGGAAGTTGAGGCCACTCCCCCAATGAACCAGACACGTGGGGACACCCCAGAGGGCCAGTCTTCGATGGGAGAGGCATGCAGGCAATGAGTGAATGGAGGCACCTGGAGCCACGCGAGGGGATCTTGGTGTGCAAACAAAGGGACCCATCAGGGGCCGTGCCAGGATGGAAGTCTCAGGTATGTCCTTTGATTCTCAAAGAGAGCTTTGTCAGTGGCACAAAGGAGGTTGGGGGCCCTCTAGATGTTGGACAAGGTAGTGGGGCCTGGCCCTGGCTCACTCTCTAACCCAGTCAAACTTGGCCTCTCCCTGGCCCTGGGTAGCCACGACTTCTTCTTCGTCTGGCCTGAATGGGCTCAGTGCTCATGTGGGATATTCCTCTGTTCTTACCTCCTACGGGAAACTGCCCTTGACCAAGCAAGTTGGGGAGCTACCTAAGCTTCAGCTCTCAGAGTCCTGTGAACAGGGCTTTCCCAGGGGCCAACCTTTCTGAAGAGAATCCTAAGGGCCTCTGACCCCCCCCCCCCGCCCCCAGTCTCCAGTCTTAAAAACTTTGCCCAGGCTACAAGGGGCAATGTGCCCCATCCTGTCCTGCTCACTCGTTAGGTTTTCCTGCGGGTTTCATTCTATCATGGAAGAAGAGAGGTGGGAAAGCCTTCTAAAGGCCTGCTAGGTCCTGTGTTTGGCTCTTAAGGTCATCTGAATCTTACAGCCCTCTGATCCATGGGTAGAATCTCAGACATGTGAAGGGATTTGGCTGAGGTCACATAGCAGTCAAGTGGCCATGATTTGGATCTATTTTCCAAGTCCCTGTTCTTTACACTGCATCTAGGAGGAGGGCCCCCAGTTCCCCACACTGGACCACATTACCCTTGACTCTGCTTACACCAATCCATCCTGGGATGGAGAGCCGTGTGCCCTGCATGTCTCAAGTGTGAAGCGCAGCTTGTGCCACATGTGGTGTGATCGAGGAGCTGAGCAGTGAATGGCTAGTGGAGTGGAAGATCAGGCCACGTGTTTGACATAGGCCTTTGGAACTGCATTCAGCAGAGGGGTGCACTGAGCCACCAGAGGGCAGTGTCCCCGAAGGTTACTGGGGCAGCTACAGATGAGATTCCGGCTGGAAGCACCCAGGCTGGCATTCAGAAGGTTGCAGCGGGTGCCTGAAGAGAGGCAGCCTATATACCATTACCGACCCTGAGGGCACCTCTGGCTCGAATCTCATCTCCACTTGCAGAAGAGGGCTGGAGCTTCGGATTCAGACACCAGAGTCTCACGACCTCCATTTGCCCCTCTGACCAATGGGAATAAAAACGCTTCCTACACCCTCATGGCCTCTCTCCTCTCCCTTTCATTTCTTCCATGGGATTCTTCCGTAATCCCACAGTGACAAAGAGGACCCCAAACTTCAAGTGTTTTCTAATGTCCCCGGTGCTGCCACCCAGAGTGTGAGCTGATTTGGCACCACTGCAGGAAGGACAGGGCAGACACAGGACACTAGGTCACCCAGGGGGCTGATGGCTCTTTTCCTGGCCTGGCTCCGAGGAATGGTGCGGGGTCTGCGCTGGGCATGTTTCCGCTCCCACCACATCTGGGCTGCACAGAGGGGCCACACCCAGCCCCCTTCCCACCCAGGCACTGTTTCCTTGTCCTTCGTCACTTTGCACAGACACAGGCATTTGCTGGGAAGCAGGAGTGGAGCCTGAATCAGGCCGAGGTGAGGGCAGTCATTATCAGTGCCATGGTCCTGCCCAGGAGGGCCAAGAAAGCAAAGAGGTGCCAGGCGTGCCCTGCACCTGCTGGACTGGCCATCCGCAGCACAGAGGCAAACAACTGCAGCGCTCATGGCTGATGGGAGGGGACCTAATTTTGGCTCCGTCACTTGTTCCAAGATGGTACTACTTCCTCCTGAGGCTGAGTTTCCCCCCATGTAAAAGGGATCATGCTGTGGAAGTCAGGAGGCAGAGGAAGGGCTCAAACTCCAGGCCCAGCCCCTTCCATCCCTGTGTCCCAGGAGGCTTCCTTTGGATCTCCTTCCTCCCTTCCCTCTCTCCCTCCCTCCCTCCAAGGCCAGCAGCTCCTTACCAGGCAGTGAGAGGCTCTGTTAGGGCAGGGCCTCGGGGCTTCCAGGCACGGTATGCAGGCAGGGCATGCTCTTCTGGGTCCCGAGGATTCCCTCCATCTCAGCCCCAACTCTTGATATGGGATCACAGCCACTCTGATGGGGAAGCCCTAGCTCTGGGAAAGGCAGAGCTGTCGAACCAGCTGGGCAGAAGGAGGTGGGCGGAGCCTCCAGCAGCTCCTCCCTTGGGAGTTCTCATTGGTCCTGGGTGTCTGGGTTGGCCGGCTCCTGACAAGACAGTTGGCACCCAGGGGTTTCATTCTGAGTTGGTGTCTCCATAGCCTTCTGGACCCCAGTCAGGAAAGACTCTGAGACTTTAGACCTAGGAGAGTCAAGTAAGGTGGGTGACCCCCTCGGCCATGTCGGGGTCTGGAGGATACCTCTCCAGCCTTATCTGGGGAATGGGAATTGGCAGTGTGACCTCAGGCAGACCACTTCACCTCTTCACCCCCAGCTTCCCACCCATAAAACAAGAATTTGCCCATTGGATGCACATTGTAAAAAGTTTCTTTGGGATCAACAGAAGTCCTGTTCTACATTAAGAATTTTAGGTTCCAGGGCCTTGGCTTTTCAGACTGGAAAATTTCAAAAAGAGACTTGGAGACCCAGAAATTGAGGATAGAAGCTTAGCAGGCCAACGGGGAGAGGTGGGGCAGACTCTG